GGAGGCCAGTTCGGCAGCCAACCAAAGATGCCACATTTATTATGATAATAATTTGATTTATGACCAATAACTAATATTTTAATCCTTATACACTACACACATTATACCTAATACCTACCTACCCACACACACACACACACACACATCCATCCATCAGATGTTCTGCAGCTGCTGCATAGTTACCAGTCCTGCTTGAGTCTGTGGCTTGAGTTTGCAGCTTGGGTTCGTAGCTTGTGGCGGCTAACTGGCCAGGAAAGCCGGGCACAAGGACGAGCTGGGTCTCTGTTGGGCATGCACCGATGCCCTTCCATGTTGGCAGCAGAATGTTACCCTCCTCTAAAGTTTTCCATCTCACCCATCCTTTTTGTAGGCTTTAGTTTGAATCCAGAGTCTATAGGTCTTGCTGTGTCACGCTGCCTCCGGGTTTGGTGATTGATCACCTGTCATTTGCAGACATGACTTTCAGACTCGGACCGGGCTTTGATCTTCCTTTTATTGTACCTTTTCTTTTTTAGGGTGGATTCATCTTACTTTGTTAGGGCTCTTGTCTGCATCTTCAGCCGTTGGTGTTTGAACTCTATTTAATCAGGACAGGCTGGGGCTGGAGGTTGATTCCATCATCCATACATACCTCACTCACACATCTAAACTAAACTAATAAGATTACAGCAGGGTTTGCAAAATGAAGGTTGCAGCAAGCCCTTACAAAATGGAGTAAGCGTTTTAAAATGGGGTTTGAATTACAATATGGCAAACAGTGAACAGAAGTTACAATATAGACAAGTATAATAAATGGTGAACAGAAATTACAATACTGAAACAGTGCAAGTCTCAGTGATTTAAGCAGGAATTGGATTGATAGTGAAACTTACAAAGGCAGCAGACTGAACAGCTATGACTCTTAACAAGCATCTTAACTGTTAATTAGCCAGTTATTGGGGTAACCGGTTTTATGAATGAATATTGTTTCATTCATAAAACTTTACTTACAAAGTTACATTAATAAAGTAAACAATTAAAAACACTTTCATTCATCAGTCCTACAGTGTTGGCTCCCAGGTCAGACCATAGGGCCAGGAGCCAACCCAGCCTACTCAGGGGTGAAAATACTTTATGAGGGCCCTATTGCTGTCTTTAAGCCAGCCAATGGTTGCAGCACTACTACACACAACGCTTTCTGTCTCTGTTTCCTGTCGCCAATAAAGTCCCCCTTTGTTATACTGTTCTTTGCGTGTGTGGCATTGAATTTGTTTGGGGTGGTATTATTGAATTCTATTTCTTATGTGCTGGGTCAGAAGCCTTGGTAAGAACAGGAGTATTAGTCCAAGGGACAGCATCTGCTTGTGTCCTAGAATTTACCTTGGTTGGTGGCACCAGGCAGCACAACAAAGAACCTCGGTTGCTACCATTGGGGTGGGGGTGGGAGAGAAGACCCTCAAACTAGCAAGCATCAGGGAGGAGGCTTGACCCCCCCTTCTCCCAACCCTCATAACTACACCAAGTTGTTTATTTTTAAATACTAAAAGCAGTTTGTGCTGCTCTCTGCATTGGCAATATTTTGAATAATAAAAATAAAGCGGCATCTCGTACAATCTATGATGAAACACTGCTGCTAAGAAATTCACTAAAATCTGTACAGCACCTATTTACAAAGAAACTTTTTTTTCAAGATAAGATTTTGTACTGCACCCATCTCCATGGTAGCTGAAGAACCTACAGAATTCCCAGTGATTTAAAATTTCCAAGAAAATAAAGTGTGTGAGAGAGAGAGAGACTGTATGTGTGTGTGCATGTGTGTGTGCGTGTGTGCACACTTCTACACTAGGTGCTTACTGCGTTAAACAGTAAGTGAAGCTTAGATTTTTTCTCCCCACAATGCCTAAAGAACTTGGCTTGGTAGTTGGATGTTCAAATGCCTTAGTCTGCTTTGAAAGGCAGATGGGAGATAGGCACAAAGAATACCAGTCGTTATAACTGTTTTTGCATATCACCAGAAGGCTGTTTTATTACATCAGGGTCAGAATGGTCCTATTTGGATGCATGTTAGGCATCTAAATTCCTCTTGCATCATCTAATTTGAGTTCCTCCATGTGGGTTTAGCTGCCTACTTTAGTGGCATCCATGTTAGAAATTGTAGGTCAAAAGACTCATAGCTTTTTAAGGTTAGAAGGGACTTTTGTGACCATCAAGTCTTATCGCCTGCATAACACAAGCCATAGGCCTCCCCTGAATTAATTCCAGTTTCAAGGCCAATAGCTGTGGTTGAACCAGCGCATGTCTTTTAGTAATCCATCCAATCTAGATTTTAAAATTTCCAGTAATGGTGACTCCACCACAGCTGGTACGTTGATCCATTGGTTAATAATTACTCACACTGTTAAAAGCTTACACTTTATTTCTAGCCTGATGTTGGCAACTTTTAGCCATTGGAGCTTGTTATACCTTTTGTTTGCTAGACTGAAGACCCCGCTCTAGTATCAAATTTCTGTTACCTGTGTAGGTAGGTTGGGGGTCAGATTATAGCGCTGGCCAGCTCAGTGTTTTGGAAGCTCTCTAGGTTTTTTTAGTTTGAGTTTGGATTTAAAAGTTAGGTGAGTTTGACCAGCTAGGTATATATTTTTTAATCTATAGCCATCATCGTAACATGTACTGGCTGTTGGCAGTTGGAGGCTTACTGCTGGAAAGCGGAGCCTGCTCTCTGACAACTTACTGTTCTTGTGATGTAACCAGGCTTGTATGTTAGTTGCCCGTGACCAATCAATTCCTGGTGAGAGAATGAGTCTCACGGTTTCTCAACTTCTGGCTGTCATTCATTCATATTGTTAAGCTTTCCATCTTCCAGAGTCTCTTTTTAAGTTTAATACATTTTCTTAATATTTACTTTTCTGTGTGTTTACTAAGACTGTGGAATTTGATTACTCTTTGTTTTAGTGGGAGACTACGATATGATGCATCTCTTTGAAATTCATATTGCCTTTGTCTTCACTGCAAGAACAGATCTTTTTCCATCAAGATAGATATCTTGTAGAAGATAGCTATTGGTAAAACCTGTTTCAGGTTTTTTTTTTTCCCCTTCAGTGAAGACACAGCCATTGTCTCTCTAAAAAACCTGACTCACGCCCTTCTTATATCTACTGTATCATTTCAGCTGGTCTGTTCTGCTATTTCCCTATTGTTCTGAGTCCCTTCCACATTTTGGCTAAGATTTGCTCTCTTTCTAAAAGATATGCTTTAGTTCAACCACAGGTTTTTGGGCTTGATGTAGGAATTTTTTATGAAATTTGAGGCCTGCATTATGCAGAAGGTCAGACTAGCTGATCCCAATGAGCCCCCTTAGCCTTAAAAAGCTATGCATTTATAATTCCCTACTACTTCTCAATCAGTCCAAGTAGTAAAATATTAACCAAAGTCACATTAACCTCTTTCTGTCTGATTCTACTCAATTGTTCCTACCAAATCAACAAGAAAGAACTAATGGTGAATTTAACTTCTGTGACTATAGTCCTTTTGATCACCAAATTATTATATATGTTAGGATGCCTTCTGAGCTTTTTCCACCTGTTTTTTCCAGAACTTGTCAAGTTCTGGGAGAACACTTCATCCAGTTCTCTGGGATCCAGAAGACAGCTTGACACTCAGATTACTTTATTAGGCATGTAACTGCTCTTTGCGTATGCTAGTCAGGCCTAGATGCAAGGAGTTTAGGTACAGTGGGATACCATCATTCCAACTCTTGTCACACCACACACCACCTATCCTAGCTACCAACATCTATACTTGTATGTAAAGATTAATTGCTTTGCAGCTTGCATAAGGCATGCTTATCAGTTCAAGGTGTTTCTGACTACATTGTTTACTATAAACATAGACACTAACTAGTGTGGTTATCTCCCTTATTTACTATAAACACAGTCATAATAGTTAATTGTTTCAGGAGTTACATGCTTGGGTTTGTTCAGTAATTACTCACGCATGTCTTGTCTAAATTTGGGATTGTTCAACTAAGCCAGTCAGCTAAGCCAGTGCTACAATAAAAGACCCAATATGCATTTTTTTGCAAACTACAAAACTACAGAAAAATACAATTTCTTCTGGTTACTCTTAAAATATTTTTAGGCTACAGGGAAAAATACATTTTAAAATAGCCAAAGCACAATGCCACCCATGTGTCCCCTGGGGCAGTGTAGTTCCACGCCTCCCCACCCAAGGGCTACCTATCCTATGTGGCAGCAGTTTAGCCCTGAGAGAGAAATTCTGGACTTTTAAGAAATGATGGAGCCCTCTAGAGGTGCAGTGCAGATGAATGTTTCATATTAAGTCTTTCTGGTTCTAAGCCATTGATGCCTTTTAGATCTGTGAGACTGAACCTCCCAGCTTAGCATCTACCCCTAATTATTGAAGCCAATAATATTTTCATATCTGTTTTTTATCAATGAGTTTGTGTTCCCAGGTGCACTCTCACTTGCCCGAGACCTCTGGAAAATTGTGGTATTATCCTTAAAAACACACACACACAGGCCTAATTTGTTTTATTTATAGATAAAGTTTGTTAGCATGAGAATTTCTTTTATCTTCACCTGTTGAGCACTTCAGACATAATCAGATAAAATGACAAATGGCTAGTTAACCAAATACTAGGCAGTCATGTGAAATATGTCACATGTAAATGTAACGTGAACTGTACCCTCTTGCAGGACTATAAAGAGCCAGTGAGAAGAGCACAATCCTCACTTAAGGCACCATGAAGGCTCTTCTTCTGCTAGTAGCTGTTGGCCTTTGCTGGGCACAATACAATCCAAATACAAAGTCTGGAAGGACGTCTATTGTCCACCTATTTGAATGGCGTTGGGCTGACATTGCTCTTGAATGTGAACGGTACTTAGCACCCAATGGATTTGGTGGAGTTCAGGTATGTAGCCTCTACTGTTAGTAGACAGTAAAATTTCTTCATCTTTTGGCATTATTTATTTACCAGAATAAAAGGTCCAGTTCACAGAGAACAGGCACCAGAGTTACCATCAGTAGAAATCAGTGATGGAAGTAGGAAATGTTGACAGGTATGTGCCTAGACCAATCATTGTGAAGGGATGATTTTACTTTGTCCCCACGGGGGCAGCTCCAAAAAACCACATGCTTTCCACTATGTGTCACTTACTTTGTACGTGGAGGAATTAGAATGTAACAATTTATTTCTTATTTATTACCATTTCAGACATATTTATTCTCCAGTGATGTGCACAAACACCAACTCTTGTCATCCCAATTTAAAAAGAAACTTCTAAATTATTTCAGTCTCCCTGGGTAGTTTTGTCTTTCTTTAAGGAATCAGTCCTAAGTACCTTTGTGAGATGGTGAGCTACTTTAACTCCCATTGATTTCAATCTGAGTCCTCCCAGGATCAGATCTTGTGATAGCAAGCTCCTCGTCGGAGAGAGTGGGCTGGATTATAGTGCAAATCAGGAGTAAAACTGGTGTAAGTGATATCTGTTTGTGCTCCTTATATGTGTTGTACAGGACTGAGCACTCTCTCTGTGCTTATACAAATATCAAAATAATTACTAGTTTATCAAATGACATAATTTCATTCGCAGATATCACCTCCAAATGAAAATATTATAGTTACTAATCCCTGGAGACCCTGGTGGGAAAGGTACCAGCCAATCAGCTACAAACTGGGCACACGATCTGGAAATGAAAATGAATTTAAAAACATGGTGACCAGGTGCAACAATGTTGGAGTAAGTATCTGTGGATTTCCTCCTGTTGAAATAGTGTGGGGAGAAATAACTGATTTCAGATCGGAATAGCTTCCTGTCCTATTACAAATGAAGGGAGAAGGCTGCAAAGAAGTTAGAAAAGGTGAAGGAATGTAAATGGGAGGAATAAAAGGGGATCCAGTCAGTGAAACTCACAACGTCACTTCACTTTCCTTTGTAAAAACAAACTTAAATGCAAACATTGCTCTCTAGGTTTATATTTATGTGGATGCTGTAATCAACCACATGTGTGGATCTGGTGGCGGCTCTGGAAATGGTGCTACTTGTGGAAGTTATTTCAATGCAGGGAACGAAGATTTTCCATCTGTCCCATACTCAAAGTCGGACTTTAACGATGGTAAATGTAAAACTGGAAGTGGAGAGATTGAAAATTACAGTGATGTGAATCAGGTAATTTATATATAAATATCTGTTTTTACTCCCCCCTCCTTCCTCCTCCCAATCTTCTTGACTAGTCTTTGCTCTTGGATGACCATCTTAATAAGGCAAAAAAAAAAAAACAAGATCCTTGGTTGAGCTGATCAGTATGCACTCAATACAAGAAGGTACTTAAGTATGTGCCTAAATTTAATCATGGGAGGATGACCATTGATTTCTCGGATGCTTAGAATTATGCACCTATTTATGCTCCTGTTAGTTATGTAGTTCTGATCACCCCTAACTGATGAAGATACTGTTGTGTTCAAGCTATTGCCTAAGCACCTAAGGAACTTTCAGCCTGATCAGTAACTATTAACGGGAGACATCCTTCGAAAACCCACAGTTGTGCATGAAGTGATGCTGGTAATTCAGTAGGTGATAAGCAATAAAACTGAACTCTGAGCTCTTGTAATCATTAAATGGTTAATGTCTCCTTTCCCAAATTTAGGGATTTTAGCTCCTTGTCTTTGCCAAATTCCATTGTGCAGTCTCCCTTCTTAAATTCATAGGGCAGCTACATTTGCAGACAATCTTCACTTCCTGGCCTGACCTGAGAATCACACCACCTAAATATAATAAATTCCAGAGTACATTCTTCTGTATTGACTTTAAAGGAATTCTACTCAAAACAGGTTTAGCATACGAGATTAAAAATATGTTAAAATGAATATATTTTAATCAAAGATTTATAGTTTGGCGTATGACTCGGTGACATCTCAACTAATTTTTAAAACAGGTCCGTGACTGCCGCCTGGTTGGTCTTCTTGATCTTGCCCTGGAGAAGGACTATGTGCGCTCGAAAGTTGCTGAATACATGAACAACCTCATTGATATTGGTGTGGCAGGCTTCAGACTTGATGCTTCCAAGCACATGTGGCCTGGGGATATCAAGGCAGTTTTAGACAAACTGAAAAACCTAAATACTCAATGGTTTCCCTCAGGAACGAGGCCTTTTATTTTCCAGGAGGTAATCTCATTTTCTTAATTTCACTCTGTACAGAGATGGGTTCTTTTATATAACAATACAAATACAGTATGGGCTGGATCCTGCAAAGCACAAGGTTCTGAACACTCTGGACTCGATCTAGCAGAGTATTTAAGCATAGGCTTAACTTAGAGTACTCAGTACTCCGCAAAATCATGCTGTAAGGGTACGGACTCACCCCTGCGGCACCCCCTACTGGTTACTCCAGGGAATCAGCTCACCAGCTTCTCGAGAACCCTCTGCAGGCCGGTGATCCGCCGTGTCCTCTGCTGGCACCCGTGTCCCTCCCAGGACCCGGTGCCCCTATTACTGGGATGCTGCCCCCTAGCAGTACCCCACGGATCTGGGTCTCCCCTCCCTGGGGAACCCCCACCCACTATCCCCACCTTGCCTCAGCACTAGGTCACTGCCAGTCACCAACTAGCCCCCGCTCCCTGGGGCAGACTGCAGTATAGGCCACTCATCACTGGCAAGGGGGGTTTGAAAATTCTGCCTTGGCCCAAGCCTGGGCTGCACTCTGCAACCCCCAGTACCCCTTGGCCTCCTACCA